CAATCATCATATGAAGATCATTTATTTATTTATTCAAAAATAAATATGCATATCTGATAGAATGTGCTAGAGATTGTATATATGTGTTTATGAGGAGTGAAGGTGCCAATGGTTTTATTGTCTTTTATCATTCATTAGATTTGAATAAGTTAACAAGATATAACACCGTCGTTATTACTATCACCCACCCACCCCCTGTATGAGTTATATGCCCTAAAATATTAAAGTTTGTCATCTATAATCCAACATTATCTATGTGTATAATTTAAGACACTTAAAATAGTTGAACATAGACATAGACATACGTGTATGTATGTGTGTGTGTAATATTTTATTTTCAATTTTTCTTATCTTAATCAACAATTCTTTCTACAAAAAAAGTCACCAATGAAAGGTGCTTACATAAATATACTTTTATTTATTTAGTTTATCAACTAACTGATAGGAAAAAAAAGTATTTCCCATTCATCAATTTGATTATTATTATTACTATTAGTAGTAGTAGTACTAGTATCAGTAAACTTATCATCATTAAAATCATTGATCTTTTTTTTCTTCTTTTAATCTAAGGCACATGAAATTAAACAAGGAGAGATATTTCCCCTCCCCCCCCTCCCTCAGACAATCAGAATATAAAGAGATAGGGATTATTGTTATTTTATTTTTCATAGAAAGCAATAGGAGAAGTTTGTTCATTTTTTTCCCAGTTGTATGTAAACTATCCCCTTAGATTATTCATGATTACCTTCCCCCATCCCGTTAAGAGTGTGCATGAAAAATCATCATTCATGAATAGTCTACAAAAAATTCCACCACCCCTTTCTTCACTTGTTTTTTTTTCTTTTTAAAATTTGATATGAATGAACAAACGCTTAAAATTTTTAATTTTGTCATTGTCTCAAAGATCCATGTTCAATGTCTGTGATAAAAATAAAACCGCAAAAAAAATAGAACTGATCCAGATCTAAATGGCATGAGAATGATGATGATGATGATGATGTGTGTACTTCTGTCTATGTATGTCGACAGTTATCATAAAGATATGTATTTATGAATATGTATAACAAACTACAAATCACTTCAATCTTATCACTGAATTTCGGGTTATTTAGGTTATGTAAATAAATATGGTAAAGTTTTCAATTACAAATTGAACAACCACAGCAGTGTTCGTTTATAAAATCTTACAGTGTAAAATAATAATCTACATTTTCAAAAAAATGTAGGTCTGTATAAAAATATAGTTCCAATTATATATCTATACACCATTCAGAGATTAATCCACCGTGAATAGTGCACTCACACACACACACACGCACAAACAATAATAAAAGGATAACATTCAAATCATCACGTTTGTCTCTTTACAGATTATCTTCTGTTAGAATTCATGTATTTATGCTTCGGTATGCTTAGAACGTGTGTGTGTGTATATATATATATATATATAATGATGCATATATGACAGAGTTATATATGTAGATATCGATTTTTGTGTTTAATGTTTGTTTCCCTATGGTTTACGATGCACCAATATGTCAATGTGTATATTCGAAGCAAAAATAAGGCGACGAACTAATCTACATTGCCGCCCCCCGAAAAAAATCTTTTTTTCCCTCTAAATCAAAATACAAAACACAACTGTTGTGTATAAATTTTTCTTCTTCTTGTATGTGCAATTTTGATTTAATCAACCAAAAAAAAGAGAGAGAATAAAGCAAAATGGTGGATAAAATCTAATAGAAACTCAACGACAACAAATTTTTCCCTCAATAAATATCTATAAAAAGTAAATATATTGAGAGAAAACAAAATTATAATTTAACGACGTCAACCACTATCACTATTATTATCATTATTATTACGGTGATGATGAATACTTGTTTCTGTGATTAATTATCGTGGTCTGGTTAGTTTTGTCTTTTTTTTTTTGAAAAAAATTCTTCAACATACTTATATTTTTTGGGAGGGGGTGGGGGTGAAAATTTTATAAAAAAATTTCCATTAATTTTTTATCGTCTATCTAATTAAGAAGAAAAAAATAGTCCTGCTGTGTATATGTATGTATAATGGGTAGGGGTGGTAGGAGAGTAAGGATTAACCACACATTTACACACACACACAAAATACCCGTACACAGTCAATGTTTAATTTTTGTTCATTCAATAAAGAAAAATCAATTACTAGGACTATTTCCTGTTTTTTTTCTTATTAATATGAACCTTTTTTTTATAGAAAAAAACCCAACTAAAACCTGATTAGAACACGAGTTAATAAGCATAGTGTATACACATGTATACACGTGTGTTTTATTTATATTGTCATCTAATAATTATAATGATAAATACGTCTGGTTTACAGTAGTAGTACAATATATGAAAACAGAAACGGAAGTACAGTATCAACATTTGAATCTACATGATCATAAATATGCAATCATGACAAAACTATATATAATATCCTGCTGTTATCTTGTCCTCTCTCTCTCTCCAAGATCAAATCAAATCAGGCGAGATATTAAGAGAGGGGGGAAGAAAGAAGTAGTAGCTTGTTTTTAGGAGACCTTCGAATCACCAGTCTATACTATGATGATAATAATAATAATAATAATGATAATGTCTTGTAACAGATTAATAAGTATTTGGGGGGGAGGGAAACGTGCACAACATACACAAGTATTAATTTGTACCTTAAACGTATGATTTTAGAAAACGAAAAAATATTTAATTAAACCAAGATCATGTTAATCCATCGTTTTTAATCTCTTTCGTCAATGTTCATTTATTTTTTTTACAAGAAACGAACTGTATTCATAGTTGTTCATTTTACAAAAGATTTAAGTAATAAAATAAGTGTGTACATAGACGCATACTCCCAATTTTGTGCGCGTGCGTGTGCATGTGCGTGTGTGTATGTGTACTATGTAGACTTCTGGACATAATTGTCTATTTACAGTTAACTTAATATGTTGATCCTCTAAGAGAAAATGTTAATTAAAGTTGGAATTAGTCTTGACAAAAATTTTCTTTATTCAATAGATGCTGTTTATTCTATTTCCCCAAGTTATAATTTAGTTTAATTTTGTTAAATTACTGAATGGATTAAGTTATTGTCAACGTCTACATTATTTAATATTGTAACGTTTCAATGGTTCCAAATAGTTTCTAGTTCATTAAATGAAGAAGTTTGTATAATAGAGTTCAATTTTTTACTGAAGATTTCATGTTATTGAAGTATTCGCATCTATCTTTTATGAATATGTTTAGTACTGCGCAACCTAACAACGGAACTATATATATTTCTACTGAAATCATGAACTGATTGATGCCAGACCACCATCGAAAACCTGGAAGCATTGGACGGCCATTTCGTCCTATTGTGGGACTCCTCAGTAGTGCTCATCCACGATCCCACTCGCGGGGTTCGAAGCCAGGGCATTCAGTCTCGCGCGCGAATGCTTAACCTACTGGAACACTGAGCCGACATCCAATGGTGTTAATGTCTAACCTCAACCAATCCACGAAATTGTGCGACCACCTTCCATTGTACTGAGGTAGACACCTGTTTCTACCCGATATGGATTAGCTCCACTGGTCATGGCTTCCCACCAGAACTCCGAGAATTTTCTCACGAAGCTATTCACTAGTGGGCACATGGTAATTATCAGTATAATGGTTGTGGAGATTGTTAAGTTTTTGATTGAGATCATGAACCAATTAATGTTAGTCCACCATTGAAAACTATATATATTCTGCATCCACTAAATGAACGGAACAAATATCAGAAACTTCTAGAAACGATGCTCGTATTGAACATTAAAGACATCTAAGTTTACCAAAACAATATACTTTGCACTATTTTAATTCTCATAGTGTGATACTTGTATGCTTTTTATGAGTCAATAAACAATCCATGTATCAAATATAAGAGGATTTAAATTCTAGTTTAAATTTTCAATGAATATGAGATACAGATTCTAAATAGTGGCTAAACAACTAAATTTTTCAAACATTAGTTACTCAAGCCTAAAAAAGGATTCATCAATATATAAGAAGATGAATGATAAAAGTAAATTTCTAAAGAACTAATACTTAATAACAATCATTAGTTATTAAAATAACCGTCAGCTCATTCTATCAATGACTTTCAAATGAGTGATTGATTGAGGGGATTTCGTGCTGTGTAACTTGTTTAAATCGTTAACTGATTTTATATTGATACTTATTAAAAATTAGAAACCAGTGAGTATCTGTTTCATCCTAACATGAGACAACTGAGCATAACTAGCGCACTAGTAGGTACACAGGTTAATTGTCGGATTGTTTCATCGATAGAAATTCATCAAATCTAAGGATAAGACAAACATGATATTGACTACTACATAGTTATTAATCAATACAACAGTATGATGTTATTGACTGGTATTGATTGATTTGTTAGGAATGTATTTCTTTCTCCATAACTTTCAACTAATCATTACCAGCTTTATATTACAAATAATCATAGTAACCTCATATAGTATTTGAAGAAATAAGTCACAAAAAAAAGCATTGCATTTACTCATAACTAGCGTCAAAATAATGTATCCCTTGGATCAACATATAGTTGATTAGACCATTATTAGTCAGGATTTGAATTATCCAAATATCTATATATAGAAATGAATTGCTTACCATTCATTGTTGGTGTACTTGTGTCCTATATGTGTCCGGAGTGGATTGCCTCAATCTAGTTATTACGCCACAACGTTTATTTTTTAGAGCAGATAAATTGTGGCTATTAATAGAATCCTAGATGTTTTCAAGCTGAAAGTACTGGATTCAAGTGCTGATATGAACCACAATACATTGAGATGTATATACATTCAACTAAAATATCCAGAATGGGTCAAAACACACTTACTATAGATTCTACTCCTATTTATAAACTAATAAATCAATCTACTCATTTAACAAAACAATAATTGAATAGTGATAATTAGTTATTTCAATATCACTTACCTCTTCTTTGCATATAAACAAAAAGTTCATCGAGAAATTCTTTTCTTTTTGGATCATCTGAAATAACGTATAACTGAAATTGGGAAACAAAGGAAATAGTACATAATAAATAATAGAGAGTAATGAGCAAAATGATGGAATACAGTAGAAATGCTCACATGAATTCCCATATAGTGTCGTAGATAAACACTGCTCTAACAAATCTCATACTAAGACGAAACAGCTTTATTACTGATTCCTGGTTTCCAATAGTCATTCAACTAATGTTACTTCGTGATAGGTACACAGTTTTCTTTTCAATAGACCGAACCAACAAACAAGTGCATAGTAATGTAAATCTTTTAGAAATTTTAAGAAACTCCGAGGCGATTTTAAACGGTGTCTAAATAACTTTAAAATACAAATCTTTATAGTGTTTAGTGAATGAAAGGAACAGAAAGACCTCTCTGAAATTGTAGTTTAGGGTGATTGGGACTCATCAACAAAAAAAATATTTGAAATTTCTGATCCGATATAGTTACCCGGCGATATTTAATACTACATCAATCAGTCTATGAATAAAAGAAACTATTATTGAAATCATAGAAATTCAGGATCAAAACAACGACCATTTATATTTGCTGAATATTTCTTCAAGATATATGTATGAATCATATAATAATCAACAAATCAACTAGGTGATACTACATTTAGGTGCCAACTAACTTAAAAGCTAAAATTCAAGGTTTCCTATTAATTACCATCGCTTTCCAAAATCTCATTTCAACAGTATACACTATGTTGTTGAATCCTTTAAACCAATGGTAAAATTATAACTTTATGGGTAGAAGTTTAATAAAAAGGCATTAAGAAGTTTTCTTGAGATAACAAACTGACCAATGTTAGATAATTACTGAAAACCATAAAATGTTAAATAGCTAGTTCGTCCTAATATGAGACTCCTCAACAGTGTACGTTAACGAACCCACTTAAAGGGGATTGAAATCAAGACCTCTGGACCACATTATGGGGGGGGGGGCTTGACCCTCAGACTACTTGACCAGTATGTGATAGTTTAAATGTCTAACTTCAATCAGCTCGTGACATTGCTCAGGAATCTTCCATTATTTTCAGTCGGTAACTTCCTTACATTCAACAGGGTTTAAACTCTACTGGTGGTTGTAACATATTGTAACTTACAAGTGAATTACTAACTAATCGGAAATTTCTTTTTCTCCATATCGCAGACTCATTCACTAATACACTCAACTTAAACAAACTTAATGCTAATATTATTCTGTATGACAATTACAAATAGCTTCAAAAATCAACTTCGAAGTATCCGATTGATCAGCAGAGTGGTTAAATTTATATATGAAAGTACTGTAATTGAAGTACAGAATATTATAGTAAGTTTCCTATGATATATATGCATGTATATACAGTCCATTTTTGATAAACTGACGGTAGGTTGACTAACATCTAAGTAAAATTGGTTAAATTCCGAATGTATAAAATATTCATGAAATGACACTTGTAATTTTGTGCATATAGTAATCTATTATTATTCAAGCCATATTTAATTAAGTGCTCATTGGCTTTAGAACTTGTCTACACTCTTCAAAAAATGAATTCCATATGCAACTATATATTAACTGGTAACAAACACATTTTGAAGTTAAGATGTTTTCCCAAAACAAATGTCAGAAGAGGTGTTCAAAGTAGAAAAAAGAACATGTTAAGTAGTTGGGGATAGTAACTTTTTTATTTTTATTTATTTAGTTGAACACGTAAATATTGGTACAAACGGGGCACCGAATACATATACACTACACAGGTCACTTGATTTGTGCATGGGCTATGATACTTTCCAGGTGCCTAGACCGAAGCAGGTGGTTTTCTTAGGGGGCCACACCCGGAGCGTTCAACCTAAAGGTCTGATCCACAAGGCAGTGGAGCAACGTCAGGAGATGCAGTCCCATGGTAGCCGTTGACCAATAATTGGTTCGTACCCCATTTTCTCTCCTCAGGATCCTGGAGCCCATGTGCATGACTGGTTTGGAATCAGTGTTTTCCAACTCCCCTAGGTGGATCCTCCATATCCACCAACCCGATTCAAGCGCCGGACATTCGCTCTTCGTCTTCTCAATTTCGTAAACAACAGTAATGCCGCGTGAAGGCAGTGAATAGGACTTCCCCGGAAGAGGCTATATACTAGTGGCCAAATGAGAGCATTTCGAGTGAGAGAGCTGACTCTCACTCCCCACTCTCGGCAGTACCAGGGTATTTAAGAGCCAATCAGTGCTAATATCTAGACAAATATGACACTGGTTACAAGTTGATTCTCAATTAGTGTATACTAATCAACTGGTTGGATATGTTAATAACCGATAATTAACTCATGTTAAATTCATTCTCTAATTAATTGTATATACTGATCATAATATTCTACTGATCCAGTTAAAATATCCGATCATTAATCTTAAGAAATTTGACACCTATTCTACTCTCATTTTAAATGTTAATTAACTAAAGGTATTTAATAAATGTTGTTATCTAATTAATAACAGGATTATAGCCTTTTGATTGAAATCATGGACCGATTGATGTTAGACCGCCATTGGAAACGTGAAAACACTGGATGGCCGTTTCGTCCTGTTGTGGGACTCCTCAGTGGTGCTCATCCACGACCCCACTCGCGAAGTCTCGCGCGCGAACGCTTAACCTACTGGACCACTGAGCTGGCATCCAATGGTGTTATTGTTTAACCTCAACCAATCCACGAAATTGTGCGACCACCTTCCATTGTACTGAGGTAGACACCTGTTTCTACCCGACACGGATTAGCTCCGAAACCGCCGTCTAGTGGTTCCTGGTTTTCAATGGTGGTCCAACATCGATCGGTTCATGATTTCAATCAAAAGCTTGATAATCTCCACAACCACTAAACTGAGGATTATAGTCATTGATTAAATAGATATTTCATCCTCCAATCTACCTACATCCGATCTACCAATCAGATATCAGTTTTATCCCATTCCCATGAGTAATGATTGCGTCATTTAGGTAATAAGTAAACTACATCTATTCATTCTCATTTAAATTTAGAATTTAACTAATCAACTGAATCATTTCAATAAACTTAGTTAAAATATGATGTAATACTAAGTAATAACAATAGGATAATCAAATGAATTACATTTTAATACAAGAAAACTATACACAAAGGGAATGGAATTAAACATTGAATTCACTTGATAACTAATTTAACTCAATTGATAATCCACTCCAATTTCTACTCTATACGCCAACCTCTTCCCAGTTTTATGTCTGTAGTCTCTTGATTATTAAATAATATATCTCTTATGTAGTGAACAAGAGCGCCAATGGGTACAATCGAATGTATTTGAGCACAAAATTACAGATTATCTCATAAATCATATCAAACTTGACTATTCATGTTGCAAACATCAATCCATTGTCTCAGATTTCATTGTTCATTCCTTTTCATACCAATTGCATTCCGTTTCCGTTCTTTCCTCATCGATCTTCTGTTGAAATACATTCTATGCCTGACTACTGTTATATACTACTTATGTGGATATAAGTAACCCGCACCACACTTATACTAAAGTAAAGCTACTAAAAATGGAAACTTTACTAATAAAATTACTTACTTAGTAATAATAATAATAGTAATAACTGTTATCATTACTATTAATGATAGTACTAGAAGAAGTAGTAGTAATTTTGATAATTAATTAGGCGCCATATCAAATAATGATAGACAGATTTATTTATAAAAATTACATTAAGAATCTACTTAGGTGACTTCATTTAATTAAAAAAATTATAAATTTTAATTATAAAAAAGATATAAGTAAATAAGAGTACCATAGAGTAATATTCTCAAGAAAAAGTAACCCATAAATTATCTGAGTTACTAAGGTGGGTCTATTGACAAAATTTACATTCTGATCTTATTTAAAGTGTAGTTGAAAATCAGAGACCACTATGTATGTATGCATGTATGTGTGTGTGTATGTATGTGTGTGTGTGTTTGTGTTGTTCCATGAAAAAATATAAGTTATACAGAGTTTTTATTAAAGTCATGTGTTACAAACGATAATAATCTCTATATTCATGATTAACTTGGAGATTAAAATCAATGTACCCTTGAAATCATAAAGGCAAATGGTACGGTGTAAGTATCATTTAAAATTGGAAATGAACACAAAAACATACTAATGAGATTGAATGAAATTATAGACCGGTGACTTAATATTTTGCTTGATATGTGAAACTTGAAGGTTAGAAAGATCAATTGTATGGGTTTAACCGTTAGTAAATATGAAATTCGCGCTATAACCGGATCCCAAACCAATGGTGCACATGGGCTCCAGTATCCTGTGGGAACAAATGGCGTATGAACCAGTCGTTGGTCACCGGCTACCATAGGAATGCATCTCCTCACTATGCTCCACTGCCCTGTGGATCAGACCTTTAGGTCAAAGGCTCCGGGTGTGGCCCCCTAAGAAAACCACCTGCTTTGATCTGGGCACCCGGGCAGTATTACAGCCTTCACACAAACCGAATGATTTATGTGGTGCATATGTATTTGGCGCCTCGTTGTACCAATATCTGTGTTAAAATAAATAAAATAGTGACATAGTAACAAGTTCAATCCTTACTTTGCCTACTTTGATCTAAATGATTGGGTAGTGTCATTAGTTATCACATTTAACGTATGGCTTAAGATTGAGTATATGAATAATAGTATCTGGTCAACCAAACTAAAATTTAACATCATGAACAATAAAACTCGATGGCGCAGAGTTTATATTCGATCTAAATTATGAGTTTCCTTAAAGATTATAGATGCCTATTGGTGATAAATATCAATTATTATGTAATCTAGAGAGTATATGGCCCCCAAATGGTTATCTGTAGCTATGCAATGTTAAAACATAGTATGCGCAATGTCAATTCACTTTTCAGTCAGTACTACGGATTGGTCAAATATGACTACTTGGTTGATAATCCTCGATTTTTGTTCAATGATATATATATATATAGATCACTTTGTAGAGATTG